AAAGCGCAGCTTATTTGGTTTCATGGACAAAAGAATTTCTGTGGCTGGAATATGACGAGCTAAATAACATGATGTTCTGCCAGGTGTGTTGTGAGTTTCATTCGTTTTCTGAGTCGACAAGCGCCTTTGTTACTGGGACCAGTCATTTTAAGAAAGACCCCATCAGAACCCATGACAAATGCATTATTGCTCAGTCTGCAGTATCTTTCCCAGAACAAACACCAATTGCAAAAACATACTAAAAATAAACCTGAAAAATCTGTTTAGAACAGCGTACTATGTTGCAAAGAGTGAACTACCACTGGCACAATTTAGCAGTCTCTGCAAAATTCAAAAAGCAAATGTCCTAGATCTTGGTTCCACTTACCTCTGTCTTGTGACTTCAGTGGAAATTTCAGATTCAGGATCTGTCCTACACAGTTCTTACAAGTTCATAGAAATTTCTGTTCAATGAGAAGTATTTGAGTTGATGATTGTAATTTTTATACAGTTGTTGTGATTTGTATTTTAATAATTTTTTGATTAATTTTTGTTTCCATTACAATATTATACTTTAATGTATAACAGGGGTCTCCACACATCTAAAACCTGCAGGGACACCGGCCCTCGTGGACTGGGATTGGGGACCCCTGATGTATAATATTGTAACGGAAACAAAACATAAAGAAAATTGCTCTCTTTTTTATTCGGGCTACCTAAATTTATTTTGGGCTACCAAAAACTGAAGAGTGCCGGCTCAAAGGGCTACCAGAGATTTTGAAATTTTGCGAGCCTTGCTTAAGTTGCTAGAAATCACAGTCAGCCTTACAACCTCCCAGAAATGCTTTATTTAAGGCCCACTTGTAGATGAAATAGTTGACTAGTAGGTTTTCAGCCCAGTGCTGGCTGTTGGTCCTGCTGCTGGGCTCCCCATTATGTTCTCTTTTCCCTTTTGCCCCTTACAGTGTTAACCTTCTGCATTTTTGTTTTTATAGGAAGTGGACGAATCTGACGAGGGGAGGGACGCAGATGACTTTGAGGTATTTGAACACTGTGGGATTGATTAGATTTAGTGATTAAGCCTGATTAGTTTGTCATTCTGTTTTGTGACTAACCTGAAGCACAGCGATGTCGGCCACAACATGCAGCGATAGAGCATATTCACTAGATGGTGCTGTGGGTTCATGGATTTGAAGTACGCTATGAGTCACTGATGCATCTTCATGTGTGGCTTAAAGTGAAGAGGCGAACCAGCGGTGTTGATTCTGTAAAGCACACTACTTGGACCTTCACACCATACTAACCCCACCCTTTGTATGTGTTTTCAAACTGTGTGCCAGCTTCCTGCTGCACTGTTTGGCACAGTTCACCAAGGTGAGAGTCATTCAAAAACCAAACAAGCGGAAGCAGTAAGTCAGAGGATGTATAGCTTGACTGAGGCTTTGATTTACAACATTTCTGTGATGGCTGCCTGAGGGGATTTTGTGAGTTTTGCCTCTTGGTTATGCCACATCATGAAGTGATGGCAATGAAAGGACATTGCAGTATGGTAATGATAACTGTGGTTCACGGTGTGGTTTCTCAGTGCTGCGTGTATCAACATGTAGAGCTTTATTGCCATGGAAGCAAAACATTTCCAGGAAAGTTAATGAAACCTATTCTGTGTACTTTGTAGGGAAACACTTCACTTTCTTCTGTTGGGATGTGGTGCAAAATGAAAAAACAAAAAAACAATTTGCAGCTCTCGTTAACCCGTATTTTATTCACTATAGAACATAAGAATCCCATTCACACCATAAATGAAGTGCTTCAGACTCAGACCACCTCCTCCAAAGGGTCTCAGCGCAGTCGATTTGTTTTACTAGTGTGATTACCATGTTCACATCTGCACAAGTGAACTGAAGTAAGGCAGAAGAAAACCAGTTTGATTTAAATGGAGTAAACCTTCAGAGAGATTACAATGAATGTCTGACCATTTTAAAGTATATTCATATAGTCTGGAGAATGTCTGTGTGCAAGGGACAGTTTTTATTTTACAAAGCATCCCAACTATTTTGGAAACGGGCCCGTGTGTGTTTAGTAGTGTTATATAAACCTGCTGCATTAAAGTTGCAGTTGCATTAAAGGCAGAGGTTGTCGTGTAATTTTGGCTACGTTGGGAGAGAGAGTTTAAAGCCTCAATGTGTTTTCTTGCTATTGTTACCATCACTAAGATATTGTTATAAAGCAATAGGATGCTACTCATTTTGGTTTTGCTAGAAATTCTGCGGCAAAATCTAGCAGCAGTGATGTAGTCTGCATAAGCAGATGTTAGGTCAACAGGCTAATAATTGGGTTTAGATTTAGAAACCCAAAAAGAGAGTGAATGTTTATATTAGCTTTCACTTTGTCCTCAAACTTATTGTCGTTTGCAGTTGGCTTATCTGTGAATGGCAGCTGTTAGGTGTTGGTGTGATACGTGTCTTAATTGTGAGTGTGCAGTGCCTCATTTAACCACAAAGACTGTTGTACTCGATAAGAACTGTGGTTGGATATATCCAAGTTCTCCTTTAATGTTTTAAATTGTACTGTGATCTAGTCTGAGATCTTAAGAAAACATTGAGTTTACACATTCGGGCATGGGAAGCTGTCTACTGGAATGGAGATAAAGGGGATAAAAAAAAGGGGGTTAAAAAAAATAAGACAAACTAAATGTCATAAGTGACAGAGCTCTGAAATATTTAGAGATATTATTGTCCAACATATCTGAGATCCTCACCTTCTAGTACCATCTGGTGAAAAAGTCAGTTTTGATTTAATGTGGTGGCCGATTTATTTCATTTACACATTTTTTAACCACTATCTCGACTATAATTCTCATTCTGTTACCCAAAATCTATGTGGTTTTATAAGTGTTTCGTTTTTCACATCAGCGTCTGTTTCACTTCATCTTTAGATTAGTTTAACATGCTAACAAGTAGCACTAAGGTGTTAATTGTTCCTTCGAGGCTAATGATCCTGGAGCTTGAACACTAAGGAAGGAGAAAAGCACTTGGCTGGAAAGGATGTGCAGCAGGTTCGGGTGATCAAGGATACAGATGGAAATGTCATAAACAAAAGAAGAGAGTGTATTGAGAAGGTGAAATGAGTACTTGGAGGATCTCATGAATGAAAAAAATGAGAGAGCAGATGGAGGACAGTTAGTGAATCAAGGTGTGCAGAGGATTAGCGAGGAGGAGGTGAGGCCAGATATGAAGGGTCGAAAGGAGGTTGGCCCAGAAAAACGCTCTGAAGATAATGAACCATACCAGGAGTTGTTGAAGCTAGATTAAGGAGAGACGTGACAATCAGTGAGCAGCATTATGGCTTTTTTGCACTGCAGATGCAATGTTTCCTTCTGAGAGTGTTGAGAGTACAGATCAGAAGGAGCCTCACTGTGTCTTTGTAGGTCTAAAGAAAGCAAATGGTGGCGTGTGAAGAGAGAAACTGTGATACTGCATGTAAAAGTGGAAGGGAAGTGAGGGTGGTGCAGGACATGTATGAGCAAGAAAGATGACAGATGAGCAGTGAGCAGGTTTAAGAGAGCTGGAGGTACGCTCTCAAGAGAAGAGGAATGATTTTGGACAGAAGAATAACAGCAAGAGTAAAGGGGAAGGTTTGAGATGGTGAG